TGACGAGAAGATCGTGGAGCTGGAAGAAGAGATAGACAAGTTACGCTGGCATATAATAGGATTATCCGAGTTTCGAAGAGAGGGGGAGGAAACGGTAATCCTCGAATCCGGCAACATGCTCTATCACCGGGAGGGCGACCATCTGTCCCAAGGAGATGTCGGATTTATCGTCCACAAGTCTCGTTAACAACGTTGTAAAGATTGAGTGTGTCGACGAGGGTTACGTACCTTATTCTCAGAATCACCAAACAGTATTCGCTGAAGGTCATACAGGTTTACGCGCCAACCTCGGCACATCTCGATGAGGAGGTGGAGGAAATGTATGAGGATATCTCTAGAGCCATGCATTCCTCCAAAACCCACTATACGGTGTTAATGGGAGACTTCAATGCAAAACTAGGCACAAGAGAGAACGGTGAGGTGAAAGTAGGGAAATTTGGAATAGGGCAACAGAACCCAAGGGGCCAGCAGCTGGCCGACTTCATGGAGAAAGAGGGATTCTTTATGATGAACTCTTTCTTCCAGAAGCGGCTCCACAAGAAGTGGACTTGGTCGAGCCCCGACGGTTCTACAAAAAATGAGATTGACTTCATTATGACGACCAGACGACAACTGTTCAGTGATGTCACCGTGATCGCGAGGGTGAAAACTGGTAGCGATCACCGAATGGTTAGAGGCACACTGCACCTAAACGTTAAGTTGGAGAGGTCTCGTCTGATGAAGTCAACGCTCCGTCCCCCTCGTGCTCTAATCCAAAGCCCCGAAACCTTTCAGCTCGAGTTACAAAACCGTTTTCAGTGCCTAAAGACTGCAATGAAGTGGACGATATGAATGACAAGCTCGTGAAAACTGTCCATGCGGTCGGAGCTAAGTTCTGCAAAACCCGCCGCAGAAGAACACAAAAAATCTACGATCACACTCTTAATCTGGCTGTTAGTCGGGAGATGAAGCTACATTCTTCAACAGATTTGACAGCATACAGGCATCTCTCAGAACAGACAGATCTCCAAATGCATGCGGCGGGACATACGCAACTTTAATACAGCTTGTATTGAAAAGCGATCAAGCGGAAGGAACCAAGGCTCCAAAGTCTTTGCCAGAGATCTCTCTCTCTCTCTCTGCCAGAAAGAGCCAACTGTCAAGGCTGAAGACCGAGTGTGGCAGCATCGTTTCTGGGACACCTGAGATTTTGAGTGAGATTGAGAGATTCTATGGGCAGCTCTACACGTCATCGTTGGAGCCACACGCAAGTGTGAGTAACGATCCAAGAGCGAGTTTTATCCGACACTATTTCGAAGATATCCCGGACGTCAGTCTGAGCGAGATTAGAATGGCCCTCCAGCACCTTAAGCACGGCAAGGCCCCAGGCGAGGATGGAATTACAGCGGAGCTTCTGAAAGCGGGTGGAAAACCGGTACTTGAAGTCCTTCAGAAGCTCTTTAATTCCGTCCTCCATGGTGGCATTACACCGGAGGCGTGGAGCAGAAGTGCGGTGGTCTTGTTCTTCAAGAAAGGCGACAGCGCTCTCTTGAAGAACTACAGACCGATTTCCCTTCTGAGCCGGGTCTACGTGCTGTTTTCGAGAGTCATTACGAATCGTTTCGCACGCAGACTTGACGACTTCCAGCCTCCCGAACAAGCCGGTTTCCGAAAATGCTTTAGTACTATAGACCACATACATACTCTGCGGCAGATTGTACAGAAGACAGAGGAGTGTAATCTGCCACTTTGCCTTGCGTATGTGGACTATGAGAAAGCCTTTGATTCGCTCGAAATTTGGGCGGTGCTGCAGTCCCTTCAGCGGTGCCAAGTTGACTGTCGGTATGTTGAAGTGCTGAAGTGTTTGTACAGTAGAGCTACGATGACTATCAGAGTACAGAATCAGAGCACGAAACCTATCCAACTGCAGAGTGGTGTAAGACAGGGTGACGTTATATCCTAGTAACTCTTCACCGCTGCATTGGAAGACGTTTTCAAGCTACTGGACTGGAAAGGATACGGTATTAACATCAATGGCGAGTACATCACTCACCTTCGATTTGCCGAAGATATAGTCCTTAAGGCAGAATCGCTGGAGGACTTAAGCACTATGCTCAACGACCTCAATAGTGTCTCTCAACAGATAGGTCTTAAGATGAACATGGACAAAACAAAGATCATGTTTAATGTCCATGTCACACCTATGCCGGTAGTTGTTGGGAGCACTAAGCTCGAAGTTGTTGACGAGTATGTTTACCTGGGATAAATAGTCCGACTAGGTAAGTCCAACTTCGACCGAAAGGTCAATCAACGGATTCAACTCGGCTGGGCAGCGTTCGGGAAACTATGACACATCTTCTCGTTAGACATACCTCAAAACCTAAAAAGAAATTGTACAACCAGTGCGTGTTGCCAGTGATGACTTACGTACCTGAAACGTGGTCCTTCAACGCTGGCCGTGTGAGGAGGCTCAAGGTCGTTCAGTGCGCTATGGAGAGGGCTATGCTCGTGGTTTCTCTGCGTGATAAACTTAGAAATGAGTTTATCCGCAGTAGAACCAGAGTAACCGACATAGCCCAACGGATTAGTAAGCTGAAGTGGCAACGGGCCGGCCATATATCTCGAAGAACCGACAACCGATGGGGAAGAAAGGTTCTCGAGTGACAGCCTCGTACCGGTAGGCGAAGTGTAGGGCGAACCCCCACTAGATGGTGGAGTGACGACCTGGTAAGACATGCAGGAAGCCGGTGGATGCAGGTGGCTCAGGACCGTGCTTTGTGGCATTCCTTGGGGGAGGCCTATGTTCAGCAGTTGACTTATGAAAGGCTGTAATGATCTGTCTTCAAACTAGTTAAGATATCATTTTATTTCATTACGCGTATACATATAAGCAAATTAATCATTTTCAACTACAATATAATGGATTTCCGCAAAGTAAAGCCTGATTCTATATTAATTATCTTACTATGTGTCGAACTTGCGAGTATTTACGCGTATGCAAATTCATTTTTAAGGATTGGAAAAAGAACGAGAACAATGCTCTTAAAAAAAAAACAATTTATACAATAAATAGTTTATTTATTTACTCTAACACTTAAGTGACAAGAGTTTTAAGTAGTAATCACATTCATCAATGTTAATAAGGGCATAAGATACAATGAATTCTCTAGAATATTTGTATTATCTACTGTTGTTTTCTTGCCTTCAATATTTTAAAAGTAGAAAGAACAAGAACAAATAAAACCAGGCAAGAAAATACTATACTAGTTTATAATTAAGAACTATTACATAAGGTTGTTATATAAAAGAAATAAATTTATAATATTCATTAACAAAATCAACTTACGTTATCAAGACCCAACTTAGTTTTTAATTAAGTTGCATTATTACCTATTTCGATTATGTCCAACAAGCATGAATAACACTTCGACGAACATTGCAAATGAATGCGGTTAGTCGTAATTTGGTCTTGTAAGTACATACCCAACATACATATAAAATTCTCTATATGTTAATATATACATAAAAGAAATGTTTTAATAAATATACAGTATAGACTAGGCCAATTTCAAATATCGATATAATAAAATTAATTTTTAGTTGGTTTATATTATTACAACGCAGTTTTAGAAAATTGTCATTACACAATACTGTGTATTTTTTTAATTTATAAAAGTACAATATTACTTACGAAAAGCTAAATAAAGTGGTCTCAGTTACCAAATGAACGAAAAGGAAAACATACTTTATTACTAAAAACAAAGTAGATATTGGCTTCGTAATTTAATGAAACTTGTGCATTTACACGGATTACCATAGAAATAAATGTCGTTTCAACCAAATTATCAATTAAGATGTAGACTTAAGGTTTTATTTATCTAATGATAATATACATTATAACGAATAACTATGAATATTATATTTACATGAGGTCCCAATTAGTAATATTTAAAATAAAGTGAAATTTCAAATCTTGGTTACCATTGAGATGAAAAGAGAAAATGAAGTTATACATGACTTAATATATTATAAATCCGTGTATTGACAGCATAAGGGACTGTAACACCGCATATCATCCCATGGGTGTCGTAAAAGGCGACAGAAAACCTTCCTGATAGCAACGAAAAATAATAAAAAACTGCAGTTGCTAACCCGCTTGCCAAATGTGGCAACTATGACGAATTTCCCCGTGGCGAATGGATTTCCGATTTGTGTTAAAGAGACAAACACCGATGTAGCGGACAGCGAGGAGGCCGCCGCCCCGTCGCCCCGCACACCGGCAGCAGATCACGCGATGTCGCCGACCAATCAGCACGCGGCATCGCCTTACGACGCTACTCACGAACCGAGACGCTCTCCGGCGAGATATAAGAAGGGCGTCTCGGTCGGTGAGCTGTTCATTTCGGAAGCGGCACTCGAAGAGAAGAAAACAGCAAGAGAAATCGAGAAAATCAAGACTCAAGAAGACTCCATTAAGAAGACTCCCCTCTGTATAATAGTGTAATTAATAGTGCCACATTTGTAAATAGTTAGAATACAGTATAGTTCGACAGTACCATCTTTTCTTTAAGCAGTTGTCCCTAGCGTACTCAATAATACAGTCCACTGCGATCCCTAACAACCGATATGTAACAAATATGACGATACAATAGTATTAAACTTAATTTGAAAGAGATTGATGAGTTTCTGAGCGCTGGGCTGCTTAAAGGTTGTCTATAAAATTATGGTTTTGGAATATGAAAATAAAAAAAAAATGTTTTCAACTTACAAAAATCATAATCATAGATTCATAGATCATTTTCTTTCCTTCAATACTATAAAATGTATTAATAAGTAATAAAGCGACATTCGCTTGAAATACATTTAAAATAGTAATTATCTGCTAAATATTAAGTAAATCATTGTAAATTAATCGATTAAATTCTCTCGATAATGCAATATTGCTAAGTGATAACCGACCTCTTTACATTGACTAAAATGGCACGTATACAGCCCACTGTGTCTTCAACGTTCGACTAAGTTTAAAGTTCGTCGTCGAAGCGTTCGCCGAGCAAGTCGTTCCCGTAGTCGGTGGCCTCGCTGCCCACGAACACGTGGTGGTGGGTGAGGATCTCGTGGAACGACAGCAGGTCGTCGTGGTCGTCATCCGCCGACGCGAACAAATGGTCAACTTCCTCCTCGGCTATTTCACTGTAAACACATTACTTTATTTACCGTGCACTGGTGGTGTAAGAATATCTACTACCCTGGGTAAGAAGCGAATGAAGGAAACAAATCAGGATATGGGCATCAGCGTTTACCTACTAATGACTAATAATAAAAAAACTGCGGTTGCCAAATGGTGACGGTAACTGCTTTGCTAAGTTTACTCTAACACGTGATTTTAATAAAGTAACACCTGTATACGTCGTCATTCCTGAGTGGGTTTTAGGGCAAGAAAGTGTTGCAATAATGCGTATTGGCGGACTTCACAAGTCTTCTAATTATTACGGGCCGAAAAGTGGAACTCTAATCAGAAACCAAGTGAAGAACCTTCACAAAATTCAGAACCGGTCAATCCCTGATTGCGTTACTTTAGTTGTATTAAAACGCCACTGCGGCTGCCTAATTTCTAATAAAATTAAATTAAAAAATATTTATTGTATGACTACAGTTAATTTAATAAGGTCTTTAAAATATTTTATGTACAATTGTGCTCCATAGTCTACCTATTTCAGGTGTACAATATTAATATCGTCTTGAATATATTTATTTCATAATCAATATCTTTTAAATTCTAAACCTAAACCTAAAAACCTAACCTCCAGGGAAAGAAGAGGAAAACGGATATGTTAGGTACGTACTCATTGTCAGGTATAATCCAGCGCCGCACCTCGTCTGCGTCGAGCACGCCGTCCTGGTTGAGGTCCAGTTCGTGCTCAAACTTGTCCTTCTCCGAGAGCAGCCACTCTTTGTCATGCTGAGATCCTGCGTGACAAGTTTTAAATTAAACTAAACTCTTCTTTCTTCTCTTGTTTACTCTTTCTATTTAATTATTTTGAAATGCCATAATAATCTTATGACTTCCGATAGACAGATAAATAATTATAAAAACTCATTATTTCAAATTAAAATATCTACAAGTATATAATATGTACACATTAATCTCAAATATGTATCTACATAATTACGTAAATGGGCTTTGTCATATTAATCCTTTTTTTACTCAATATCGATTTTCTCATAACATTTTCAATGAAAGTAATGATCTTTTCAATATATTTTACAAACATGGAATAGAAGAGAATAGAATAGATTTTTATTCAATATTGATTATTACATAATACTTATTGAAAGTCATTTTTTTATTTACCACTGGTTCAGAAAATACCTCTGTCCTGGAAAGAACCAGCAAGAAACCCAGCGGAACTTTTTTTAACATAATTTCACTTAACAATAATTTTGTTTATACAATTTTAAATGAATTTTCATAGAACCAGCATTATGGCTATCACCTTCCCAGGGGTTATTTTCATTCATGTATTCCTTGATATTAAGTTGTTTATTGACAAACTTTGAACATGTTCTGGGATTTTGTTGTAAAAGCGTATACATTGTCCCATAAATGAAGTACTAATTCTGTGGAGTCTAGTAACTGGCATTACAAGCTTATTTTTGTTCCTAGTGTTTAAGGTTCGAACATCCTAAAAAATCATTCTAAAAACAACATGTAATTTAAAGATGTATAATTCAACAGGTGGGACCTGGTGACCTATAGAACAGGTATTGTTTAATACCTTTATTAGGCACCAGTATCTCACAAACTAGAGTTCAATACGATTATAGTTTATAGTTCAACATGTTTGTCATAAATTATTGTGAACCTGTTTCTGATGAGAAAATAAATATAAATTCCATTCTATTCTATGGCGGTTAAACCATCCCATATATGTGACACATGAAAAAGCCAGACGTGCGAAGTGCAGCAGCAACAAATGTGACGTAGGTGACTAGACGACCAGTACTGCCATCATCAATCATACCACGCGTGACGAATTTAGCAAATCACAACAACGGGAGAGGAACATGTACAGCAGTGAACTTTCACGGACCTTGATGTGTGGAAAAAAAACTAAACAAGGTTCAGTTACGTGTTACGCCAATTTTACGAATCTGTCATAAAATAGACGTTACAGTCAATCGCGTGTTTATTTTAAAACAAATGTTATTATATCGTAGGGACAATAGAGCCAGGCATGGACAATGGCCATAATAAGCGATAGATTTATCAATAGGAGATTTAATGCGTATATTTCAGCGTCCCGTTGTTTCACAAACAAATTAAACGACATGTATATAATTCCTGTATTACCAATTTATAAACATACATACGACGTAATGGTATGCACGCAGACTATCCATCCACCGTGTAGTGGCGGTGTAAGAATATCCACTATCCCATGCCGTCCCGTGGGTGTCGTAAGAGGCAATAGAGGGAAATTAAAATAGAAGATAGGCAGCAGCATCTTCCTGATAGCAACTCCAAATAATAAAAACATGCGTCAGTGTCGTGGAACCATGAAGCAAATACAACGAGGAGGTGTTGTAATTAGATTTCACTATGTAACAACGCGTGACAAAAAGAGACGCCGACGCAAAGAGATTTTTAAACATTTTCAAAATTACCTACTAATGAAATGTGATGCTATCCATAGTATCAGAGCGTCTATCTGAGTAGTTTTTACACGATAAAACACATCACTTCATCCTTTTCTTCTTAATACTACGAAAAAACACCGATTTGCGATTTTCAACACATAAGCGCACAGGACGAATGCTGACAGTATACTAACTAAAGCCACGCCCACTATGATGACGTTAGGACCTACTTAGAATCACAGTGCACAGTTGCTAATGCCGTCTCCTCTTTGTATTTGCTTCATGCGTGGAACACTCGGAACGAGGTTCCTTTCGTAGTATATTATTATTGATAAACGTATTATATTATTGATTAACAAATACAAATAAATTAATTACTAGCGTCTATTAAAATGAAGCGTCATTTAAAATAAATTAATATTTCTTTCAGGGCAAGATAAAGTGCGAGGGAGATGGATATTATTCCATCTCGCTCGCACTATAGCTATAGAAAGGGGGTCGTCAAGGAAAAATCTTATACTTTTTCTCGCCTAGCCACTATCCGCCAAATTCGTACCGTCCGATAAAGAACTTCACCCCAAAACTGCGGTTGTAGTAAAAAAGCGTTTATATTCAGCAGTGGACTTTTCTGTAATGGAAACGGATGATGGATTTTTAATGTATTAAATAAATGTCTTCTCGAACAAAAACATATGTTTTAATAATCGGATTCATAACGTCATCGTAGTTGAAGTCATCGCCCATGACAACAATGCCATGCTGACTTTTGTCAGAGCGGAGGTACTTCTTTCTTTCTTAGGCTCAACAAAACCCAGCTAAAGTGGCTCCAAAACGCATAAAAAAATCAAGTGGGCGAAGAATACAACTCACCCCTGTCTCCGATGTACTCGCTGAAGTCCACAACGCCGTCTCCGTTGCGGTCGCGCTCATGTATCGTCTGGTTCACGAGGAACGGCTGCATTATCTCGTGCTCCTCGGGATTCGAAAACACCTGTACACACAAGTTTTATTTTATACCAGCTGTTCCCCGCGACTTCGTTCGCGTGGATTTTATTAAGATTGGATTCCATGGTTATTTTTTTTTACGCGTAACATTAGATCTTTATTTTGAATAAAAGTAGCCCAAGTTACTCCTTATAATATTAGCTATCAGCCAGTGAAAGACCCGTCAAAATCAGTCCAACCATTTCAGAGATTAGCCGGAACAAACAGACAGACAAAAAATTTAAAACTTGTGGAGTTGGAGCTGGACTATGCTCGGAGTTTCTCTGATAAGAGTTAAAAATGAGAATATCCGCAGTTGATCCAGAGTAATTGTCACAAGCCAACGGATCAGTAAGCTGAAGAGGCAATGGGCTGGCCATATTTTTTATAGAATAAGGGTGACAAATGAACACACAGTCGACCTAAGTCCACCTGATGGTAAGTGGATGCTGTGGCCCATAGACATCTACGTCTATCCTTGATTAAGAATCAAAATGCAAATACATTGTCACCCCTGAGGACTAAGATGAAATGCCTCTTTCCAGTAATAAAGGTTTCTGGTTCTACTCCCCATACGCAACACAGCAGCATTGAGCTGCTATTTTACGCCGGTATTGTGATGGGGTGGTCTTTCCCCGGTCGATCGTATACTATAGCTGCAGCAGGCTTCTACCACGGAATAGCACCATAATTGGGAAAGAAAGTTTCTTGAGTGGTAGCCTCGTACCGGTAAGCGGTGTATCACTCAATCATCGTCGGTATCATGAACTTATGTAACAATAAAACTTTTATAGCATTTACGTGACGGTACAGAAAGAGTAAAACAGGAAAATAGCACGTCAAACACTTTATTTTTTTATATGATGAAACATTTAATAAATACAAATCACTAAATGAACATAAACATAAAGAAATTCATATAACAACTATATAAATATATAACAACTTCGTTATAAAAGCATTAGTAAATTAACAATGAACTATAAAATAATAATTCAGTAGGGTTGCCAACTTTTTTATATCAAATACAGTATTTTCGAGGCTATTCTATGTAAAAATATTGTAAATGACAAAATGTATTGTAGATGGCCTCGCTGATGCGACTTCGCCCACGTCTATATTATTTATTCCACGCTACGCCTCTGCACAGGTACAGGTTCATCATCATCATCATCATTAAACCCTTCACAAGTCCACTGCTGAACATAGGCCTCCCCCAAAGAATGCCACAAAGCACGGTCCTGAGCCACCTGCATCCATCGACTTCCTGCATGTCTTACCAGGTCGTCACTCCATCTCGTGGGGGGCCGCCCTACAACTTCGCCTACCGGTACGAGGCTGCCACTCGAGAACCTTTCTTCCCCATCGGTTGTCGGTTCTTCGAGCTATATGGCCGGCCCATTGCCACTTCAGCTTACTAATCTGTTGGGCTATGTCGGTTACTCTGGTTCTACTGCGGATATCCTCATTCCTAAGTTTATCACGCAGAGAAACTCCGAGCATAGCCCTCTCCATAGCTCGCTGAGCGACCTTGAGCTTCCTCATACGGCCTTGGTTGTAGGTACCAAAAACTTACGTCAACAGGTGATAACAGTAATCAAGTAAATTAAATATCTTAGTCCTGTACTTTTAAAATTATATGCATCCCCAAAAAAATAATCGATAAAAATTAATGTGATGATATTTCTATTACTTTGACAACAAATCTTTCCTTTTCTTTATTTTCATTTTCTAATGTTACCCTAAGTAAATCTTTTGTTAATGAACTGTTACCGCCTATACTATCATCTATTTTTCCTTAACACTGATTTCTGGGATGATCGATATACAGGGCTATTTTGCAATAATCGGCAAAGTTTTCAGATGAGGTTCAGAATATATAACATAAGCGAATGGTGAAAAAAAAAAAATAAACAAGAAAAAACTGAAACATTTTATCCTTTATGTTCAAAATGTGTGGTGGTGTGAATTATTTTAATTGCTCGTCATTCATAAATACGCACACACACATTCGTAAGGGAGTGTTGAGTTCAGAAGCAGTTGGTGGCGTTCGTTCGACGCTCACTCTCGGTTACAGATTAGGTATCTAATAATAATTTTTTTACTCAGTAAAAACAAACGCATCTCCCCTTTCCCTTCCATTACACCTTCGTTCACCTGGTCGGCCGACAGTTTTGAATTGACCGTGACCTCATTACGTAACGAGTGTTCTATTTTTAAATTTTCGTAGGTGGTATTACTTGTCACAGCCAGTACTACGTGTGAAAACTACTGAATTCTCTCTCTCTTCTAGATATCACCCATTTTATTACCAACGTGTGCAAACACTGAATAATAACGATGGTCTATCTCGAAAATATTTTTGTGAATGTTGTCAAAAATTGATAATACTAACATCATGTGGACTGACGAAGCCCTATTTGCGCGTGTAGGGTTTTATAATAGTATTAGTAATATTATCTATACTCGTATTCCAACGAACATTAGTGGGCAGTATGCAACCACACACTATAAAATATAATTATTATGAAGTGCGATTTAGTGCAAAGACAGACACATGTAATCAATGTGAAAAATAATTTAAGGAAACGTGCTCAACTGTGCATTGTGAGAAACAAACTTCATTTTGAACACCTATTAAAATACCGGTAAGTTAATTTTAAGTAATTGCATATTTAAGATGTAAAGAGTTCGTTTTTGTAAATAGTTAATCGTTTTAAATTGTTAATAGTTGTAAATACTTCATTCCAATTTTTAAATACGCCAGTTAGTCATCGGTACTTCTGTAATACAACAATATACAACATACAATCTGTCAGTTTTGAATATGTTTATCGAACGGCGTACCTACGCGCCGATGCGATGTTCGTGTCGGTTGAGGTCGGAAATGCTCGGCACCATGCCACAGCCTTCGTAGCCAGAATTTTAACCGGCCAGCGCCAGCTAGTCCGCTTTCAAACGCCTTCAGCGCTAGCGCCGCCTGAATAACCATTATCTAAAACCTATCATTGGCCTTCCAGCTTAACTATCTTTTCTACAACTAGATGTTTACATTTATACTTCACCTCTTTCCCTCGCTCGTGTGGGTGTAAAAATATTATTTAATTCGAGGTGTACAGAACTTTTTATTTGCATAACATCTATTCCAGAAGTCGATGAAATGTAATTTTTTATTTTATTTTTATTTATTATGACGGTTCTAAAGCCGTTTAAAGTATGAAGGGAAAATTGTAATCATAATTCGCGTCGTAGTTAACAACTTAGTAGCGAGCGTGTCATTAAGGAAGTAAATATCAGGCAAAAGCTCCGTGCATAGACTCGTACACACACGAGCGCGCGGCTTTGTTGCCCATAAATAACATTGAATTTCGGATATTTTTAAATAAATGTAGAAACTTTATTTACCCATATTTTTAAAACAGTTTTTTTATATTTTGAACTTAATTATTAAATTTGGCTGGCCTTTGAAAAATAGCCCTGTATTTTGTTTACAAATATATGTATGCAGAGCCTAACATAGTAGGGTACTGAATTGTATAGTAGGGTTGGCAACCCTGATTACAGCTTATCTAAAGGAATTATCTGATTATTTACAATATGTACTAATTTTTATTAGCAAAATCGAATGTTAATTTATTCACTTCAAAAACATCAACCTCTTACCGTCGGTTCCTGGACAGCAGTGAGCTTCTTCCAAGTTTGTTTCGGAAGCTAGTTAAAAACAAAGGATTAAAAGGGAAGTTATATTACAAAGGATTTTTTTATAGAATATGGGTGACAAACGAGAACACTGTCAGTGGCATACCTATATAACCAAGGGCCCCGGGGCAAAACTGAAATTGGGACCTATTTAAACTAAACAAAATACTTTAAAGGTGCAAAACTACTTCATCATCGCCTCCTTTTTGACCACTACCGAACATCATACATAAAGCAAACCTGCTTACTACTTAGTATAATGTGTAACGCAGCAATAATATTTAATCGTACTTACTTACTAATAATATTATAAATGTACGCTTTCTTTTGTATATAATATTGTTCCGCGTCACTATTAATGTCTTGTATATGGCAACACTAGTTACCACTAGCGCTCTCTAGTGTCGAGTAGCAGAACTAGGAGAGTCAAGATCCTTCTAGAAATTTCGGGACCGATATGTACTCGAACATTTTAGATGATTCTACAGTAGAAGGTTCTGGAAAATATCTGAGGCCCTATATAAAGCCGGTATAGACCACGACCGAGTCAGTATTAAATTGGCGATATAAGCGAATACTCTGGAGCGATACTACTGCGAACTAAAGTGATAAGTAGTACAATTGTGTTTTATTATTAGTGTGGTTTAAATTGTAATTAGTGCTCCGTAATTAAAGTGTCGATTTTGGTAATTCACTCGGCAGTTTTTAATTGTCTCGAACAATATTGACTTTCAAGTAAAAATTACTAGATAGATTCGGATGAAATTTTGCACACGGAAAGAACCTGACCTGGGTTGAACATAGGACTTTCGTCCCGTAAAAAACCCCGTTGGGTTAATTTTCATGCTGGGCGGAAGCTAGTAAAAAATAAACAATGACTACTACTATATAGATAGACAATAAAATGAATTTGGCAATGTTATGTATATGTTCTGGAGGTAGAATATTTTTTTCTTTCTGTTCGAGCCGTTCGAGGTTTGTAATTTAATAACTTTTTCGAACGTCGTTCATGGAGGCTGACGGGCCACTTGAGCTTGGGGGCCACGGGGCACTGCCCCGCCTAGCCCTATTTTAGCTTCTACACCACTGCACACAGTCCACCTGATGGTAAATGGATGCTGTGGCCCATAGACATCTACATTTATCCTCGATTATGAATCAAAATGGAGATGCGTTGTCACCCCTGAGGACTAAGATGGAATGCCTCGTTTCCAGTAGAAAGGGTCTCCGGTTCTCCACACTCGCCATACGAAACAGCAATATTAGGCTAATATTTTATGCTAGTATTCTGTGAGAGCGTGGTCCTAT